GGGTGGAAGAGACGCCTGAACGCTGCGTTCAAGGATGAAGGGCTTACGGTTCCACTCGTTAGATTAGAAGAGTCAGTGCAGAACACGGGGATTGCCATATATCCCAAGGACATGTGTCCCAGTGAGCAATGCCCAGCACTGCCCAGAGCTCTCCAGGGAGCGAGCTCTCTGACACTAGAGGTATTCAAGCAGATGTTGAGCACTCTGCTCTTAGGAATGTCGATGAGAAACTAGATACAATGAATTACAAGGCCCCCACCTCTGCCCCACCAGCCTTGAGAGTCTAGGATTCTCTTCACTGAGATTGACATGCAAGTTGGTACTGTAAAGCATGAGGGGAGTCAGGCTGGGTGTCTTGCCAATGGGTTTCAGCCCCGGGCAAGTTCACTATGGATTCAATGTGACCAAAGAAATCGACAGCAAAATGTTCTTGGGGTAAAAGGGTTATACCCAACTTTATTTCCAGGTGGCAGGTCAGTCACTAGAATCATGTTCACTCAGAGCAAGTCTGCAGGCAGGAAGCCAGTCTCTGCCTCTGGGCCCCTCTGTCTGTACAGCTGTCCTCTGGGCCTCTGTCCTCAGTGCTGCCACCACTCCAGCCTCTGCTCTGCTCTCCTGCAGCCTTGCAGCCCTGCCACCGTGTCGCACCCAGAGCACTGGGCGGAGCTCTTTATATAGCGTCAACAGACATGTACTGCCCACAAGTGTGCAGTGAGCTAGTCAACCAGGGCTAGGTGAGAATCCTGGCCACAGGAATTCTCATTTTATCCACACTGGGTTAAACCCAGAAGCTTCCCAGGACAAGGAAAATGGTGGGCTCATTCATTTCTCTAGTTCAGGTTTCCACTAAGCCTCATCCACTTCCTCTTCTGCCCTTCCTCCCTTGATGTGTCCCCTCCCTTTCTTCTTTCTGTTTATCTTTCTCTTTCCTCCATCCCTCCCCTCCCCTCCCCTCAGCCAGTGTTCTCACAGTCAGGGAGTGGAAAGCACCTGGCCCCAAAGTCTGCCAGGGAGATTCGTGCTTCAGCACCTTCCCTGGTGTGGGGAGAGGTGCTGAATCTTCGCCAGCGTCCTGCCAGCTCCTCTATTGTGGCAAGTGAAATTATCAGTTTCACACTGTGGGTCTATTTAAATCAGCTTTTCATGTCTGATGGATTTAAAAATATGCTAGAAGTCAGCATCTTAAATACAAGACACACAAACAAGCAGATGAGGCTGTGTTTTCCTCTCTGTGGGCCCACCCCACCCTCTTTCCTTCCTTCCCCTCTCCTGCCCCCACCCAAAGCAGTGCTCATTCATGCAGCCCATCTCCCCTCCTCTCCATACTCCTCCCCTTCTCTCAGTGAAGGGGAGTCTACAGCCTCAACAGTGGCTGGAGGCCCCCTGAGGTCTGGGTTCCCTCCTCAACTCTTCTGGAAGACAAGTAAGACCACCAGCTTGAATGCTGGGTGTCCTGGTGTGGTCTCACTCCCTGCACAGCCAATGGGTCTGCACTGACTGTTGTGTGCAAATGCAGCCTGGACTGCTCATCAGGCCCCCTCCTGTCACTGATGAGGAGACTATAGCCCAGGAGGAGCAACCGACCAGCTGGGTGGTCAGTGAGCGGCTGTGCTGGCCCCTGGCCCACTGCCCTGACGGTCCACAGCCAGCCTGGCCCACCTGCACCTTTGTGTTCAGTTTCCCTGGAGGCCATTCGCTAGCCCTGAACCATCCCTCCTCCATCACCAATAATACATCCACCTGGAGAGTGCCACAGGATCCTATTCCAGCTGTCCCCAGTCTGCCCCCAGATATTTATGGGGAACTCTTGGTCTACTTTGGTTGATCTAACCCATTTTATCCTGCTGTAATTTAAGTCATATTCCCTCCAATCCCTGAGTGTCATCTCTTTGAGACTTGATAAGTGGGCCCTGCAGCACATCCTCCATCTGTGGGCAGGCGGCCAGCTGCCGGACTGCAGTACTGAAATCAGGGGAGCTGCCTCACCTGGCCATTTCCTCCAAGCCCGTGAAGAACCAAAGCTCGCTGCAGTTTGTGGGCTTGAGGGAAGAACAGAAAACCTGCAGCCTGGCTAATGAGCAGGACCCTTAAGGGCAGGGCCAGAGTCACAGCATTTAGATGTGGACACATATTTTGCCCTCAACTTCCATCTACTGGTCAGCCTTCCAGGCCTCCCCTGCCCAGCCCTACTGCCCGCCTCCCATCACTTTCCTCGGAAGCCCATGTCTCTGAAGGCCGGCTCACTAGAAACACTTAGAGAGGGCACAACAAAGGCAATGTAATCAGCGATAATCGAAGGGCAGTATTAGCAGAGCCAAATTCACTCCCCGCATGGGAGAGAGTCACCCAGTCACGGCCAGCCAGCAGCCAGGATCCTTAATTTCATTTCCTCTCAGTTATTAAAATGATTTTCCAAGAGATAGTCCCATCCCAGCAGAGCCACAAGATAGTGGCTGCGGTCAAGCACCTGGAGCAGCCGACCCCTCCCGCCTCCTCCCACTTCCTCTGGCTTCTCGGGATGTTCTTCTGCAATCCTGGCAGGATCTTCATTTGCCCCTTGAGTCTTCATTTCTCACACTGACCCCCCCAAAAGCCCAGCCGCCCTTCTACCACCCCCAAATTGAAATGTTTATGAGGCCAGATCTTCCTGGAAAGCTCTGAGCCCAGAGTCAGAAAATAACAGTGTAGCCACAGAATCAGTGAATCAGAGACTCTCCAGGAGGAGGGGGGGGAGGGCGACTGCAGGCCCTTCTAGTCTGACACCTTCTTTTATAAATGAGAACAGTGAGGCCCAGGGGGGACGGCGCCCCCCTCAGGCCACATGGCAGGTTCTCAGAGTAGGGGTTGTGGGTGTTTGGCTGCTGACAGGAGTGTCAGTGCGAGCCATCCCCTGTTCGTTTGGCAAATACTGAACACCTATGACTGTGATGGGCAGGGGACCGTCCTTGAAGCTGAAGTACAGACGTACATGGGAGGCAGAGCCGTTCCTTTAGACCACAGTCCATGGGCGGGTGGGGCAGGGACAGACATAAAATCCCATGCTGCTAACCCAGCATGATGAGTGTGGGCACAGAAATTCGCCCAGAGACAGAGTCGCCAAGTGGTGAGGCTCAGAGGGGCCGATGCACCCAAGTCCTGGAGGTGGTCAAAGCCTGGGGTAAGTCAGAGCCGTAATAATAGCTAATACACATAATGCCTCCATGTCCCAGGCACCATTCCCATTAAACCCTGACTGCCTCCCCCAAGGAAGACAACAGGATTATCACCAGCTTACACATAAAGGAAACTGGGGCAGAGAGAAGTGAACTGACTTGCTCAAGGCCACACAGCTGGGAGAGGAAGAATTGGGGTTCCTTCGTGGTCCTCCTGTCCCAGGGCCCACAGTCCACCAGGCCCCGTGCTCCTCTGAGCCCAGGTGGCCTAGGATCTTCAGGCCCAGCACCACAGGAGCCTCCTGCCACCGTGGCCAGGCCTGAGCTCCCGCCCAACTCTGCACCTCATGGCAGGTCATGTTTAATGACCTGAGGTCCCCCAGGCCCCAGCCCTATCCTGATCTCCCAGGGTGTCTCTAATCCAGGCATCTCCAAGGCCACTTTGAGAATCATTTCCCAGCAGCAGAGAATCACGTACATTTTCTCTTCCACCCCGAGAGGAGGCAGAGACTCTTCTTGGAGCTATTGCTCTCTCCCTCCCTGAGAGAGCCCAGAGGCACCTGCTCATTCCTGTCTAGGGCCCTCAGTTCCAAGACAAGGAGCCACCATCTGTAAGCAACTGCCTTAGGCCGCACACTGCCCAGGGCGCATCCCAGGCCGTCTCAGACCATTTCATCCATCGGACATTCACTATAACCCCAGGAGAAATGTGCTATTCTCATCCCCACTTAACAGAGAAAGAATTCACACAGGAACAGGGGATTCCAGGAACTCGCTGCAGGTCTCAGAGCCATTGGCTGGAGAAGTCAGGCTTTAAACCCAGGTCTGTTTACCAAAAGGCTGGCTGGAGTTCCAGGCATTATCCGCAACCATGAAACTGAGCTAACCAACCAGGGCCAGGATGCAATCATCACAATATCAGAAACCCATTATGACCCACGGAGCCTCTGAAAGATGCTTCAAGAATACATTCTGTGAGTTGAAAGCAATGCCAAGCATTATGCTCCCCTGGAAACAGCCGCCTGGGGCTTGAAGACAGAACATCCCGAAAGGCAGACCCAGCCTCGCACAGACTCTACCAACCACCTTCCACCTCCCAGACAATTACATCCTCCGAGCCGAGAGGACTCCGTTCTTCTGGGAAGAACAGTGTGACATGACACCAGAAAGCATAATGCAAATCATCTCAGAGTTGCACAAATTGCCCCTTTGCTGGTTCCCTATTGGTGAACAAGGCAATCCTACAACGAAGCGATCAGTATTCAAGCCATTTTCCACAACAGCAACCCAAAGAAGCCTCCACTTGGGGTTCTGCTGGTTTTGTATTTACCTTGTCTGGGGTTGATTATCTGAAGTAGGCAATGGGTTAAGTCTATTACCATTTTGCAGGGGAAACAACTGCCAAATTTAGCTCATTAGATTGTGAGCATGTGTGGCATGCAAATCTTGTCCTGTCACTTTCCTGATTAAAACCCTTCAGTGTCTCTGCCCAGGGAAAAGTCTCCTGGACACGTGGTTCATAAGGCTCTTGACTGTAGACTCTGGCCGCATCCTGAGCGTCCCTCTCCGTGCTCTCCCCTGGTCCTTACCTGTTCTTTTCTCTGCTCTTCTTTTTCACATGTGCTTCTCTCTCCCCCGCCTTCAGGCGGGGCCTCCTGAGGGCGTGTCATTGCCACTGAGTGCTTCCCCTTCCTGCCCGCCCTCTGCCCTCCCCTCCTCTTCTGCTTTCTTAGGTGTCCGCCTCAAGTCCTCCCTTCAGAGAGGCTCTCTTGATCTCCTGAGTCCTTCCTCCCACAGCCTCTGCATTTCCTCTTCCGTAATGTTTATCTTTCTTGCTGGAGGGCTGCTCCTCCAGCAGCCTGTAATTCCAGGGAGGCAAGCTGTTTTGGTCACTGCTGTATTCCCTGCACCCAGTGTGGTCTGCCACACAGAAGGGACCTGAAAATATTTATGGGCTGGAGGAAGTTCAGAGAGGCTACTCCCTTAGCTGTCCTAGTTACAACAGGGACAGGAACTGGATCATTGTGCTGAGGATGAAAAGCACCCGGTGCTTAACCTTGTTCATGGAATCCTGCCTCCAGATGACAGGTAATGAGTGTTTCTCCCTCCTGCCCCCAAATAGGTCTTCCATGTTTTGTGGGGACATTATTCCTAGACCACGTAGCCATGTGTACAGCAGAATATTCGACATCTCTAAGTTTTGCTTCTTCTTCCTGCACAGATGTTCTCTTGGACGGCTCAATCCTTGCCCTGGGCACAGAGAAGGATTCCCATTGTTCTGTCCTTCTAAAGCCTCTGATTCAAAATGTCATAGAGGTGTGTGGCTCTGTCACATTAACAACAATTTATGATAGTGGAGAGTTGGCTGGTTATTTCCTAGTAAATGTACAGACATCTCTCAAGCATTTATGTGGCTGTTACTGCAGCCAAAATGGTCTCAGCCTGGTCCCCACCTCATCTTTCTTGCCTGTCTCCAGAATGTGTTTCCAAGCCACTAACTCTGGCCAAAGGGAATAGGCACTCTGGGTATGCAAACCCAGTATTTTATTGACCATAGCCAAATATGACAAGGACATTCTCCTGGGAAAGGCAGCATGTGTTGGATTCCAAAGTAAAGGTTACTCCTGCCCTTTTCCATGGGCTGCAAACCAGGCATCAGATATACATACTAGGCTCAGGTTCAAGGTCACCAGGAGGTCCTTGTGGTCAGAAATGTAAGTGGAGAGAGGCGAGTCCCTGCCAGGCACCTCAGGTAGGGCTGTGGCATCTTGATGACTGAGGATCTTTTGGGTCCAATGGAAAGACACATGTCTATTGATGCCAGTCAGTTGCCACCTGTGGAGGGCTGGGAGATGGACTCTGAGACCTCTACCAGCCACTAGAAAAGCCTTTAAAAAGCTAATGAACCAGAGCCACAGCACAGGACACTTCTGCCTAGGGCTTTTGGCAAAAACTGCACACATGCATCACCTACATTGCTGCCCCAACCTCTGGGCAGAAGCCTGCTGCCCTGGGAGCTGGCCAGTGGCTGACTGCTGCCCTGATGGCAGTGCCACTGCCCCCAGGTAACTTCCTGGCCCATGGGCCTCCAGCTCTGGTGTCCCAGTATTCTTCTCAATGATGGGGTGGAGTACAGGGCAGGGTATTATTAAATAGCAGTTATAACTGGCATTTCCATTGTACTTCACAGTTCCCAAACTCATTTTATAGCTGCTTCATTTTCTGGGTCTTCTCCTTTGCACTTCATGGATATGTAGTGACTCAGTCCTTTGGCTCCAAGCCTCATGTCATGTGGCAGAGCTGTCCAGTAACTGACACTTGCCTGTGGAGGTGGGGACCAGGAGTCCTGGGCCAAGTGACCCACCATCCCGGGGCTTTCCCTGCCCAGTCAGCCCCAGCTGAGGTGTTAGCCACAGCCTAGTGTTGGTAAAGACCTTTTTCACTTCTGCCATGAAGAAGGACCCATCTCTAGGATAAAAGAGGTCTTGGGTCTCCTTGAGTACTGTCTATCTCTGAAAATGACAGGCTGGTGCTTCTGTGGGATTCACAGATGGTAGGGGAATTCAGGCACTGCCTTCTTCTCTTCCACAGAGTTAATGGCTGTGAGCAGCTAGGTATCTCATCTCTATCCTGACACGGCTTGTGTCCCTGAGCGGAACCAAGGCTGTGGGTGGCTCACTGGGTAAGGTGGGGTAGAGCAGGGGTCAGGGAGGATGGCCAAGGGCCCACATTGCTCAGTATTTGGGCAAGAGCAGGCCCAGCCTGGCCAGAGACTGACAACCAGAGAGTGTGAGCTGGGAAGGCATGGTGCCTGCTGCCACTGCCACCTCTGCTGTATGCCAGGGACTAGCTCAGAGCCTGGAGCCCTTTAAGTTTCCGATAAATGTTTCTTGGCTGAACTTCTGATCACTGAACATGTTGTGTCTTGTTGAGCCTTGGCTGGATATGGGCTAATTGCTTCCAACAGGATGGGGGCAGGCAGCCTGGGAGGCTCCAGGTAGGAGTGGAGCACATCCACTGTGGTTCGACAGAGTGAGGAGCTCTCCAGGCCTCAGGAAGCCACAGGACGACAGGCCAAGGCTTCGTGCACGACATGCCACAGCCCAGGGGTCTAAGACAAACTGGGGTGCCTCACAGGCACAGCTGCCTGCAGAAAGCAGGTAGGCAAGGCGGTGCCACTCAAGACTCCAGTCAGGAAGCAGGGATCCACAAAAGTCTGCCTTCAGCAAGAGGGCTCCAGAAACCAGGCTGAGAGCTTCCATGTAGTTGAGGCAGGGTTGCAAGAACAAGACAGAGCTCCCTCCCATTATAAGTGGAACCCGTGGATTAAAGATAGGAGATCAAGGGGGCAGATACCCAGTGTTCACAACTGGCTTCTAGGCCAGTGACAGGATCTTGGTCCTGTCTGATGCAAGGCCCAGGGATGAGCTGAGATGTCTGGCTCAGTTTCATTCTGTTACTGAGGCCTGGAGCCAGGCTGGGCCTCGAGGTGGGTGTCAAGAAGGGAGAAAGGCTGCAGAGGCAAAGACCAGGTAGGGCCTGGCAAAGGGGAGACAGTGCCCATGGGTGGCTTCTAGGAGAGTAAAGAAAATGCCCACATCTCCTGAGGGACACAGACAGAAGGGACAGCGGCCTGGTAGCCTAGAGAGGCCCCTGGGCACATTCCATATAGTCAAATTAGTCAGCTGTCTTCCTGCCACCTCCCACCTGCACCCCACTTTGCTCAGGGGGAAACACAGGCAGAGAGAGGCAGATCCCTGACCTTGGAGCTTGTGTTCTGAGGCAAAGAGAGGCCATGCTTGCAATGGACGTCAGAGCAGGCACAGAGGGACCCAAGTGCAAACAAGCGCACAGAAACCACAAAAGAGGTCGCTTGGCTTTGGGCCTGGGGACGTGGGCTGGGAATGGAAGCAAGAAGGTCCCAAGGGAAAGGAGAGTGACAGGAGAGAAAGTCAGTAATGGGTTTTGTATAGTTTCCAAAAAAACAAATAAGGAAAGGTGGAGTTGGGTTAAGAACAGATTTCCTGAGTGAAGTCGTCTTTATGGCATCTTATTGTCACACTGAGACCTCATCTTATATACTGGCTTCTATTCAGATCATGCTGAAGCTGATATTGCTTATTTTCCACAGAACCAGAGGGAAATTACAGTTCCTAGCAGAACACACTTGTGGGCAGGAGGGGGAGGGCTGACGTGACGTTGCTCTTTCATGGCACCCCAACTTCTCTTCTGCAGCCCCGGAGCAGAGGGATTGGTGATGGCATAGCAGGGGCCGAAGACCAGGGGCAGGGCACACGGGGTGACCCTCATTCCTCTGGATGCCACAGAGGCCAGGAAGTCAGATGGGTCTTGGCTCAGTCCAGCCCTCCCAGTGCCTGGGGATCTCAGAAATGCCTGCCGGCCTCAAATGCTGCGGTTCCTGGGGCACCTTGAAGGCTCTTGGCCATGTAGGATTTTGCCCCACTGACCTGGATGGAATCCTTCATGAAGTTGAATGGGCTCCCTGCCCAAGATAGGTAGAGCCCTGGGCTCCCTGACTCCCACCACAGGAAAAACCCACTAATGAGCTCCCCTCGAATGCCCACTGGGAAGCCCACACCCCCATGTCCTTCCTCAACCCCTTTCCCTCTCCTAGCATGCTAGTTGCTGTCCCCTCTGAAGCATCTCTTCTCTGTCTTTCCTATCTAACACACAGGGGCAAGAAGCATTGTATGATTTTTCTCTGTCTTTGTCTCCAGGTGCAAAGGGAAGCCTCCAGGGCCTGAGGTCTAAGGAATCATCACAGGCAGCAGAAGGCATGTTGAACAGGACTTGAGGTCACAGAACTCCACTCCTCATCTCAGGACCTCAAAGTGCCTCAGCTACAAAGTGGGCATCCCAGCCTGGCTCCTGGGACTTTGAGAAGCCAATGAGCATGGAAGAGCCAGAAGGGAAGGAGCCGTTGCCCCTGGAGGCAGCTCTCGTTTTCAAGGGCACTGCCGGCCCCAGTACATACCCCCCCACAGCCAAGCTGAGGCCTCCCTGCACTCCCACTCCCAGCCCTGGGCCCTGTAAGCTCTGTTCACTCCTGAACAGCCCTCTTTCGTCCTGTACCTGCAATGCCTCTCGTGGGGGAGATGACACAGGTAAGACTGCCTGTCACACAAGCCAAAGCATGACCCCAAACCAAACCAAATCAAAACACTTCCACAGGCCTGGCAAGTACCTGGTATTTCCATTCTAAAGATCCTGTTACCACCATTTGACCGAGGGCAGAAGTTTTGCCAGTAGGTCGCTAATGAAAAACATGATTGGCTCAGAACTGAAGCACAGGACAGCCTTTGCTGGCTAGAGGGGAACAAACAAGGGCTCCAAGGGGACCAGCACAGATTCTCTCGGGGCCTCTGAGTACTGTTGTGCATTCTGCGCACTGCACAAAGGCAGCAGGCCAGGGGGCAAAGTGGGGATGGAAACCTACTTTGCCTGCCAAGCAGAGCATGCACAGAGCTCTGTGTGCCTTGAGGGGCCCCTTTTAAATTTCAGACAAAGGCCCCACGTCTGTCCACAGAGCCTGTCCCCTTTTCTGAGTGATGACCGTGCCAGAGAGAATATTTTAGAGCTGATTAGAATGGGAAAACATAAAGATGCAGGCGTGTGAACGTGTGGTTCTAGGCCAGGTGGTGGGCACCCAGCCAAGACCCAAAAGCTGCTCTGGGGTCTTTACAAGAAACTGCACAGGGCAGGAGGGAAGGGAAGGGAGAGGGGCCAGGATGTCACTGACCGCAGAGTCTGAGGGCCAGGAGGACCTGGGCTCACCCAGGTGAGTCATTTCAAAGGTGTTCAGTTTGGGTCTTGGGTTCTTTTCATTTCTTTATTTTATTTTTATTTTTAGTAGTAAAACTCTCTCCCCAAAGAAAACTAAAACAGACAAGGGAGAAATTGTTCATTTTGAATTTGGGGAGGGGGCCCCCAGAGCTCTGCCTGCCCAGACCCTGGCACCTCCCAAAAGCCCTAGGGCTCCGCAGGACACAGTGTGGAAAACACTCCTAGTCCAGCTACCACTCCTCAGTGACGAGACTGAGCCCCAGCTTGCCCGAGGTCCACAAAGCATGGTAGGCAGGGCCAGGCCTGACCCCACAGCCCAGCACCTGACCCTGTCCCATCCCTACAGAAAAGAGGCAGGCCCTCACACTTCTTGGTCACTGAGTCTTCGTGGCAGCTAGGCCTGTATTCTGCCTACAGTTAAGGCCCCCTTTTTATCTTCAGTGATCATTCCCAGCCCCAGGAATCTCTTATCTGGTCTGTCCTCTCCATTATTGGAACAGAGTCTAAAATCTTAGAGGTGGCAGGGCTGAAGAAGTTGGGGCACTGGAGATTGACCAGCCCCACTAGGGAAGGGGGCTGTGATGGGCACCTGGAGAATCACCCTTGGGTCCAAGTGTCTTTCACCAGGGCTGGGTGGGAAGGCCTGCTCCAGATCGTGGCTCCTGCTGATGCAGGGGGGCTGGCCAGTCCAGATCCTGGCCCAGGGGTAAGGGGGCAGAGGCCACATGCCCCAAGGTTCCCCTAACTCTCAGCACCCTAGACAAGGCCCCTCCCTCCACTGGCCTTTCCCACAGATCCTGTCCAGACTCCCCAGTGACCCAGACCACAAGCTCAGCCACCATGTCCTGCTTTCTCTGGGTCCTCCCTGCAGGGTGCACATCCCAGGGTTTCCCACTCCTGACCTCGGACTCCCTCCTGGTTACGTGCCAGAGCACCTGAGAGATGGTTCATGACCCCCCATCCATCCCCTAAGACTCCCCTCCCACCCCTAAGAGGTGGCAGGGAAGATGCCCTAGGGCTAGTCCTGACTTCACAGGGGCTTTTGCCAGGGACTACCTTTCAGTGCAGGGAGAAGCCAAGGGGCAGCTCTTTTGATCTTCTGTTCCAAAGTGGCCTTGACTTCCTCCCCAGAACCTCCCACGCCAGAGTACCAGGAATGCAGCCATTCCATCGCTTTGTTCTCAGGTGCATTTATTGAGTGCCCACAGAGTGCGCAGTACTATGCTCAGGGTTCAGAGCCAGGGTCTAGTCAAAAGGAGACCAGAGCTGGTACAGAGAACGTCTCATAGCTGCTTAACATCTGTAAGGGATGGGGAAGGGGGAGAACTAATCACAAAACAAATTCCTATTCGAAAGCAACAGAATCTCCTCTGAGAGTAGTATATATTCTATGCGCGCACACACACACGCACATGTACACACACACCCTGAATGAACACATAAGTCTACCCACTCAGTTGTATATGCATGCATATACAGGTGTTGTGGGTAAATGAACTGGTAGATAGCTGTGCTCACGCACGCGTGCACCGCAGGCACACGCCACCACACAGACAGGTAATCTGGCTTATGCTACCAAAGACACTCCAGGTTCTAGTGAAGCAATCTGTCCTAGTCGCCTGCAGCATGCAAAACTTGGAAGACCTGGAGATTCACAGTTAAGGAGGACGATGGGTATGCATGTGGACTTCTCCATCCTCAGCCCAGCCGCAGCCCTGGAGGTTGCTCTTTGTTGGCGGCAACAAAGCCATTGTGAGAGGCTCCCAGAGCAGAGCTGAGGAGCTGGAGGCTCTCAGTCCAGTGGCAGGGCCCGCGGGAGCCCTGGTGGGTTCACCAATCTCCAAGGCAGAATTTAAAACTCTGGTTTTCGAGTGTGTAGTCCTGCAAACAGTGTCCCTTGTTACAGCGCCGCAGATCGAGATGAGTTTCGTCTCTCTCTCGCTCTCTGCAGCCTCCCACCTGTGCTAACGCATTTTGTAGTCATTAGATACAGATGTTTCACACAGCTGTCCCTTAAAATCCAAGTCTACTGTGAAATCGAGGTCTCGCTGCAAAGAAGGAGCAGAGAGTCCCTGTGTTAGCATGGTGGGAAGGCTTGCTCCAGGCCCTCCGGGCTGGCTGAGGGGTGGGTAACCCTGCGCTTCTAGGGGATTCTAGCAAGGAGTTCTCACGAACAGCCCTCAGGAATTTATTCTAGTGCTCGTTATTCTCACAGGAAAGTCTTTGATTTCCAATCTATGTCCCTCCTGTTACAATATAAAAATGTGCCCTCTGATTTCATCTTGGGAGAAAACAGAGGGGAGTGGTCGAGTCTTCTGCAGCATAACCCTCAGAGCTTTCTGTAGACTGCTTTGTTCACTTGCCTGCAACCAGGGTTGCTCAGAAAGAATCGCATTGTCTCCAACCCACCAGGCCACCTGAAGAAATGGGAACCAAACATCTTCCAGGCCACTGGAAACTGTTATTTCCTGGCTCCACTCACCCTAAATGAGGGGAAGCTTAGCCTCTGTGCTCAAAGCCCCTCTGATGAAGAACTGGAAGCTATCCTCAAGGCTAACTGAATCCAGAGAAGTCTCTTGCCCCCGAGTTCTAAGGGACCAGGGTTGGAGTCCTTCAGTGATGCCCAGTCACACCCACACCTGCCTTCCTACCGCCTCCCCCAGGGCCTTCTCTGATTGTGTACAAGGCACACAGGCAAGTGGGCCCTGGGAGCTCCCTGGGGGCCAGTCCTGGGGTCCCTCACTCTGACCCCAGCCCTCACAGGGGTGGCCCCAGCACTCACCACGTTTTTGGCATTTGGCTTCATGGATATGGTCCCATAGATTTCTTCCCCCCTCCGGACAGTGAGGTAATCTTCCAAGTAGAAGACAGTCTGCTTCCAGTGGGTGTAGGGGGCGTCAGGGGCTGTGGGCGAAGGAAATCGGAGACAGAACTCAGGGGAGACATCTCAGAAGGGTGGAAGTGGGCACCTGCCTAAAAGTTGCCGGGCTCTCCCTGGGACTCCCTGGGACTCCCTGAGCCCCGTGTGTCCCAGCACTCTTGTCAGGTGGTGACAAGAGGACCCCAGGCCCTCCCCACTCAGCATGTGCCCCTCCCTCCAAACCCCTCCCCTCCGGGCTGCAGATCTGAGCTGGGAGTGAGAGGAGAAACAAGCTGACAGTCCAAGTTCACACCTGGAGGGGTTTCTGAGCAGAAGTGTGGGGAAGATGACTACCCCTCACCAACTAACCTCATTATTACAGATGAATCTCAAAATGCTAGGTTTTTAATTAGTCTGATAGAGTGAAGACGTCCAGACAGTATAAGGGGGGGGATTTGTTGAGCAGGCCATCCTGTCTCCCCATGAAGGACACCATTTATGCAAACCCCACAACTGAACAAGTTCCCCCACTTCCACTGATGTCCCAACCCATCAGACAGCTCTCCCCGCCTGCTTCTCTGTTCTAGAACTGAACCTCATACCCACCATGGGGCTTCAGTTGGGCTTCCTAACTGGGTCAAAAAGAAATGAGGGATCATTTTCATTCCACAGCCTCTGGCCGGTCTGCAGCTCACTCACCCTGCAGGATGCAAAGCCACAGATGCCGGGCCTCACCTGTATTCACCATTAAACCCCATCCATCCCCCCGCACACTACAGACTCCACAGCTAAGTGAGGGGACCTGCTTGCAGGCTTCTTCCTCAGCAGCAGTCTTTGGGACACTCTTCCCTCCATGCCCACCAGGCTCTCTCTTCCTCACTCTTCAAGGTCACGTCCTCTGGGAAGCCTTCCCTGATCACCACCTGCTCAAAGAGCACCTGAGCTTACGTTACCATGGTACCTATCGTGCCACAGCATAAACGCCTCTGTCTTTATCCACATGTCTGTGTCTTCCTCCACACAACTGCAACCTCCATGAGGGCGGGGGCCATGCCAGGTTCATGTACTGTTATATCCCCAGTACGACCACCACACTTGGTAGATTTCTAAGTACTGAATACGTGAGCGATGGTAAAAACCTAGAGTAGACATTTGTCATGCTTCAGTGTACCCACAGGTGTTCAACTACCTGGGGGCTTTGGAACCTATGGACTGTAGGAGAATCTGTATGATACAAGTTCCCCTTGGCCCTTCAGGCTCTTTGCTTCCTCCACTAGGATGCAGGGCTCTTCAGTAGTGATTTCCTCTTTACTTAGGACCAGAGATAAAGATAAGAAGATTTGGGGTGAATATTCTAAGGGCCTTTCAAATACGTCAAAAACTGTCCTATGGGATGGCTTATATGTGGCCTTATTTATGGATTTGGAGGCAGGGCAAAGGCTAGTCACTGGGAATTACTAGAAGGTAGATTTTTAATTTGCCAGGAAGAATTGGGGCTGCCCTGCAGTTGTATGAGCTATCAGAAGTGCACGCTGGGGATGTTCACACCACAAGCACTGAGTGGGGATTTATCATGCCCTGAGTCAGACCAGGTGACCTCTAAGATCTTTCAAACCCCAAGATCTATTCGAATGATTGTGAAGAATCTGTTTTGTTTTGTTTTTTAGCTCTCTGCAATGAACTGGCTTGATCAAATGTCAGTGGTTTGGATAAAGACTCAAGTAGCCTTCAATGTGTGCATTTGGGAAATCAATGCGAACTCAAGGTCATGGAGGCGGGGGTGGTGTGGGGAGCAGCCTGAGCATTTGGGATGGCTTGAAAGAGGATCATGAACATGAAATTGGGCCTCTCAGATACTGGATACCCAACTATATCCAGCCTTCCTGGCCTCTGAGGAATACTGCTGTCTACAGACAAAGTCCACCTGCTCCCAGCACCCTCCCTGCCAACCATGTCTAAATAAATTGTCAAAAGATAGTCTCTGGTGCGTGCGGAGAATGGCAGTGTCTGACTGACAGCACTCTCGCCCCCACCTACACCTACACCGGCTCAGACAGGTGTCTCCTATTCTTAAAGACCTTCAGGCAAGGGAATTCAAGCAGCTTCCTTCTGTCACCTAATCAGATGCCTTATGAGACTCCCAGAGACTTCATGGGTTTGATTTGCCAGCCATCGAGCCTCAGAGTGTGTCTCTGATGGTGATCCCCCAAAATATGCTAGCCTTGGGTTGGAGGAAAGTGACTCTCCCCCTTGACATCAACATCAAAAGGTTGAGGACTTCCCCAAACATCTAATTTCCATGATGGGTCCATTAGCCATGGACTAATTGTCTAAACTAGTTTTCTGAATCCTAATTCTCCATCAAAATGTCCAGGAGAAACTGATTAAAATTCAGATGTTTTGATTATGCTCCTGGAGATCTGAATTCAGTAATTCTGGGGATGAGAAGGGGACCCGCTTGCCACTTAAAAATATCCCTCCAGGTGTTGTGGACACATGGCTATGGCTGAAATTGTGTGCAAACCCAATCTTTCCTATCTAATAACATCTCTTGGGTGGTTATCAGTGGAAAGGGTGTTTAATTAGGCAACAATAGCCCGGTTTCAGTCTCCACTTTGCCATGTGTTTGCACTGAGACCATGGGCTCATTTCCTACTTCTGCAGAACATGGGGCATGATATTTATCTCCTGAGGTACTTTAAGGATTAGATGGGATGAAGAGGAAAGGGTATACCAAAGGTGATCAGATCTCCCTATGTGCCCAGGACAGTTTCAATTTCCTCCTCTTTTCCTGGCATGATTATTAATAGCTTTTCCCTTCACTCTCAAAAGTGTCTTTAATTGAACGATAAATTATATGGTCATCCTACCTATAACATAGGTAGGGCCAGGCCATTGCATTAGGTGGTTACTTAATCATTATAGAAAACAGGATAGCATTTATTTATCCATCAACCATGGCTTTGGCCTGCAAGGATGTGCTGCCTCACTCTAGTCATCTACAATGTTCTGGGGAAGCATCCAGAAAGTTGCCATGCCCCAGGGTGACCACTCAACACAGAGCTATGAACAATATATAGAGTTCTCATCAGGGAACAAGTCTGTCCCTCCCTCCCTCTCCTGCCCCAAGTACAGCCTTCAGGATTGTGTAACTGGCTTTCAACTTTCTCTATTATGAAGATATCTTCATACTTTTAATATCCTGACCTTACACATCAACTCCCCTTTTCTCCCTCCCTCTGGTGCCCTCCCCTTCTGTCTCTTGACTAGGGACAGCTATTGTTCTAGACGTTGGAGTGTGACCAGTACTGCCTGCAGCTTTCTAAGTACACGCACATTCATTCATTCGCTCATGTGCACTTTCATTAATTTAAATTATCCTGATGCCTATCAGGTGCTAGATATGGCCCTAAATTGGAGGAACCGCAGCCAGTACAGCCTTCCCCAAATCCAGATCCTATAGCCTAAGTGAGAAGACAGGCAGCTAGCAGAGCCTGGTGGGGGTGGTGGCCAAGGGCAGGGGTAGGGGGCACAGGAGGCTGTGGGACAAGGGACAGCACCTCTCACAAGAAGCTGTTGCCCAGGGCTTTGAGGAAGGGACTGGAATCCTGCCTCCTGTCCCACTTCCCAGTGGCTAAGTGGCTGGCAGTTCTTCCTGGAATTTAATACTTTTTCTAGCTGTAAACTATAATTACATTCCCAGGAGGCTCAGAAGATTTTTGCAGAGTTAAAGACTATGCACCAAGAAGCTTCTCTGACCAGAGAAAATGACTCAATATCACAGGATGGCAAAGCTAGAAAGGGGCTGCCAGGCAGTCCAGCTCCAACTGAGTCATTCCTGACATAACAAGCCCAAGGCCCAGAAAGCACCTCACTCAGGATCATCCCCAGTGTCTGACCACCCTACACAGCACCCCCAGGGTCCCAGGTCCCATTCCCTACCCCCAACCGCTGAGGATATGTCCAAGGGGGCAGCTGTGCCCACTGGCACCCTGGGTGCCTATGTCCATCTGGGGCAGTTTCCACCTGGCTCTGCAGAGAAGAGATGCCAGGGTCATCACAGGGGCCATTTACAAGCTGCATGATGGATGATGCGCTTTGGAGTGGGCCCTCCAGAGCCACCTGCAGCAGGCTCAGCTGGAAACCCAGCCGGGTATTGATGCGAAGGGGCCACCTGCAGCAAGCTACACTTTGCATGAAGTTCAAGCACAGCTGAGACTGAGCAACTCCTTGTTTAGGCCTCCACATCCATGATAAAAGTTGTTTAAAATAGCAGGCGGATAAGGAACACAGAACTCAGGAAAATGTTCATCTAGAGCAGGGCTGGGAGGATGGGATGGGCGGGGCATCCAGGTAAGTCAAACGTATTGGCTGTATTAAAGTCATTGAGTTAGTCAGGGAACTCACAAGGATTTGTTACATGACTATCAATTAATTTACTCACATTTATTAATTATAAATATAATCATGCATTCATTAATAATGTATTGCTGGTTAACATTTATATTCTATTTAAGAATGGTTTATTTCTTGATATTAACTAATATACTTAAATTCTGATAATAACAATAGATTTGTTTCTAGTTACTATTACCTTCTATTTGATAATACTTTATTTATATTCTAGTAACAGAGTTAGGTGGTGAGTTCAAAGGTGTTCATTTATTAATAAATAAGCAAATAGGGAACCATGCATAACTCCATGATGATAGTATATCATGACCAAGAGTTAGTGTTTATCTAATTCCATGCGACTGAGGTTCTTAAAAACTAATAAGAAATAGTCTTTTATTGTTCGTCAGTGCAGAGGATCTAAGTAAAGCCCACTGCCAAACATAAATGCTACCTGGTAGGTGTCTGCTACATGCCTGAAGCAAAACCCCACGCTGACATTCCGAGGTGGCCGAGAGAGCAGCTGACGAGGGGGTGCTGCAGCATGAGGGGTCCGTGTCAGCCAGAAGGCAACAGTCTTGGTGAGAACAGAGGGTATATGCATATAGCAAGAAGGTGGAATTACCTTATCAAAGGGCGTTTACATCAGCCAAGTTCACAGTCACCTTGTGCAGGCAGTTCTGCACAGAGGCAGTGGGTCTCAAAGGGATTTATGCATCACAGGCACCTGGAGGGCTTGTGGAGACAGATTTCTGGGTCCCACCCAGAGTCTCTGACTCAGCAGATCTGGGGTGTGGTCCGATACTTTGCCTTCCTAACAAGTTCCCAGAGGAGGCTACTGACACTGGCAGGTGGGCCACACATGGGACTGTTGCACCAGGAGGCGGGAAACAGTAGGACCTCCCAGCGTCCTGTCAGAACCCGAGCTCCTGGGATTCTGCGCACAGGCAGATGGCATAACACCATCACTGCAGAAAGCCAGAGGAGCATGCTCGGATCTTGATCTGGACCCAGGTCTTTGAGCTTATGGCACATTCCTCATCCTCTAGAGGGACTTGTGTAGGGCTGGAGTCGGGGTGTGACAGCAGACCCAAAGGGAAATCCGCGCCCATGGGTCAGAGGCTTCTGCCCCGAAGACGAATCCTCAGCATCCTTCAGGCAGCCCAGGGCCGACTTCTTTGATCCTGAACTTGAGTTTAACCAAGCTTCCTCCACGTGGGGGCATCAACCATGTTGTCCCTGCCAACGCTGAGCTAGAAAGCCATCTCTGGACAGGGGCCCAGGGGTCTGCTCAACCTCAAGGCCTAGAAATAAAGCATCTCAGGGAAAGGAAAACTGCCACTGAAAGCTCCAGGGCTGGAGTCTGGGCTTCAGAAACCGGAACCTTTTCAGAGTACCCTTGCCCCACTGACTTCCTCCTCCCCTGCCGCAGGGCAGGCCCTGGGGAGGCATGCTCCTGGGGAGGGGGGAGGCAGCACCACCACTGTAGCTCCACCCTGGCCTCTAGTCACAGCCAAGGTCCTCAGGCGGACTCCCTCTCAGCCCTCTCACTGCCACAGCCTCAATGCAAGGCTGCATCTCATCCACCTTTCTAGGCCCAGTAAAATCTCCCTTGCCCCTCCTGGCTGTGCCTGCCCACCAGAAAGACGAGCTTGCCACTGCTTCTCTCAGGAGGGTCACCACTGATATTTAACTAACGACCCGGATTTGGGGTGTCTGGGTTTCCCCAGGGGAGGTGGGCACCAGCACAGGGCTGGCTGACAGACACTAGGACATCCTGCTTGGTGGTCAGGAAACACTAGTTCTGAAAAGAGCCCTTCTGAGAGGGATTAGATAAGTCTCTTGCCCTTCCGTCCACAGGTAAAAGAGGATCAATGTCACCATGGCTTCAGGAAGTGAATAATCACGTCCTTGAATTCGGGTAGAACTCACCTATCCCTACCCCACGCACACTCACCCTCCCCCGACAGCATGCCCCCAATTCCCAGGAAGACTGCACACGAATGGTCAATATGAACACATTCCCCAGGGCAGGAGTCATACCCTCAGGGCGTCATTTAGCAGAAACTTATTGGGACCCTACTCAGAGCCCAGCAGCACTGTAGAAGCCAAGGAGGGCAGATTAACAAGACACGACCCCAACCCACGGGCAGGCTGAGGGTTGCAAAACAAGGTGGAAGTGTCAGATTAATGGTGGCACACCCTACATTGCAATCCTGTGTGGATATTTAAAAAAAGAAAGTAGATATCTCCGTGAGGCTCTGGAATTATCTCCAAGATTATGTTGTTAAATAAAGGCAAGGTAACAGAGGGCAGTGTGTATAGTATGAAACAGTTTTTTGAAAAAGTTGTAGTGCTTATATTGTACTCTAGTTATATAAGATGCCACCAGCGGAGGGAGCTGGGGAAAGGGGTCACAGAACTCTGTGTGCTATTTTTGAACTTCCTGTGGGTCTATAATTATATCAAATAAAAATCAAAAAGAAAAAAAAAGGTGTATAGAGATATCTATGTGCTTTTGTAGCACTGAAAGTTTTTAGAAGGATACAAAAGAAATCATTAACAATATATACCTTTGAGGCCTGGGACTGGGAAGAATGCGAAGAGGACATTTTCCTTGATTTTTTATACCCTTTTGTTGTCTTTTTCTCATTGTGCATATGTTTCACTTTAAACATTGCCATGACAGATGTAAGCACAGGATGTTAGGGACCCCTGAGAAGGACACGGAACTTTGACCCAAGAGGGAAGGGGGGATCAAGAAATACCTGAGCTGAGAGGTGAGGCCTCTGCTGCCCTTGGCCTGATGAGGAGGCAGGGTGGGGAGGGGTTATGGGCTGAATTGTATCCCCCACTGAATTCATGTACTGGAGCTTATCCCCCAGCACCTCAGAATATGACTACATTTGACCCTTGAACAATGTGGGGGTTAGGAGTGTCTACCCTATGTGCAGTTGAAAATCTGCATATAACTTTGACTCTCCAAACCCTTAACGAATAATAGCCTACCTAAAACATTAGCCTTACCAGAGCCTTACCTAAAACATAAGTAGTTGATTAAGACATATTTTGTATGTTGTATATATTATATACTATATCCCACAATAAAGTAAGCTAGAGAAAAGAAAATGGTGTTTTGAAACTGTTGCACATCTCCAAAATATTTTCTAATATATTTACTGAAAAAAAATTTGCAAGTAAGCAGATCCACATAGTTCAAACCTGAGTTGTTCAAGGGTCAACTAAATTTGGAGATAGGAACTTCAAAGAGATGATTAGGTTAAATGAGGCCTTCGAGTGGGCCCTAATTCAATCTGGCTGGTGTCCACATAGAAAGAGGAGATTAGGACACGCAAAGACACAGGGATGTGCACACACACAGGACAGGCCATGTGAGGACACGGCTGAGGTGGCCGTCTGCAAGCTGAGAGAGGCCTCAGGAGGAACCACCCCTACTGACACCTTGATCTCAGACGTCTAACCTCCAGGACTAAGCAGAAATAAATTTCTAATGTTTAAGCCCCCAGTCTGTGGGACTTTGTTGTGGCAGCCCCAGCAAAGTGACAGAGGGGAAAAGGAGAGGACAAGAACCACTGACAAAAGACCCTCTTCTCCCATGGCACGCCTGGATGTGCAGGGGCTAGTGACACAGAAACAAGGGCCTGGATGCTTGAGCCCCACTAATGAATGGCAGGAAATCGCCAAGCGCTTGGTGTGATGGGGCTACACAGGCAGTGGCAGTGATGGGACGCGTGGAAGGTGAGGACTGTGGGGGAGGAGCGGGCAAGGGCCGGGTCATGGAAGCTCCATTTGCCAGGCTAAGATTGGGTTCATCTGCTGCAGGCAATGGGACATCCTTGAAGGAGGGCTGGGAGGCGGCAGGGGTGGTCTCTGGGGAGCAGTGTCGGGGGCTTGAAGGGTGGATTGGGGTGGAAGCAGTGAAGAAAAGGAGACCTAGAGGCCCGTCTGCAGCCTCCTGAAATTTGCCAGCACCGTGGTGACACGCAGCCTTGGAGACAGGGACATCTCCGTGTCCTCACCCCTCACACAGGCTGTGCTCTGTAAATGCTGAATGAACAAGTGTGCATTAGAAAAGGGGCCCTACCCCTGCCTCTCCCCACCCAACACATGCTCCCAGCTCTGACACGCAGCCACAATTTAATTTACCTTCTCCTTGGGCAGCCAAAAGCTTGGGGATGTGTGAGTCCTCCACAGCTGGAGAAGGCTTACGAGATGCCTCGTGAGGGCCCCCAGCTAAGGCCCAGGTCCTTCTCCCTGGTCATTTCCCACAGAGCCTCAACACGGGTGGAGGGGAGGCTCACCTGTGGAAAACCCCATTTTCTTGTGGCACTTGGTAAATTCAATATTAAAATAGGTGACCAGGGCGTGGACATAGTCGTTGCGCTGTATCTGCAGGCAGAAGGCAGACGTGAATGACAGCTCCTCCGTCTTCACCGTGTAAATGTCCACCTCCTGCAGCCCAGAGAGGAGAGAATGCTGGACCCTTAGCGCCTTGGCAGAGCTGGAGCCTGGTCAGCAGCTCCAGTCCCGTGGGACACTACCGATGACAGATGTCATCCCCAGGCCCACCACCAGGCCCTCCTCCCAGTGACCGCCGGGTCCTTCCCAGGGAGCGTGCTCAGGCTGCCGCACAAAGGGATCTGGATCAGAACCCAAGCGGAACAGAATCAGGAAGGTATCTCTGTGGGCCTGGGGCTGGTGGGAGCTGGGGAGGGGACAGAGTAGGAGTCACGAGCCAGAGCGCCCAGGAGCCCAGTGTGGGTGGCCTGGGAGCAGCCCACTCGCATTCTCACCGTGTGGGCCCAGGGCAATGCAGGGCAGCACCAACCAGGAAAACCCCTGCAGTGGGGAAGATGGGGCCGGGAGCCAGACCCACTGAATCAACCCAGCAGTGTGCTTTACCAAGCCTCCCAGGGATCTGGGTGAACCTGAGGGCTCATTTCCCACCATTTTGATATTCAAGTGCCCAGCACCAAGTACTGTCTCTGCAGCGAGGACCCCAGGCTGCCCACAGTCACAGGCAGAGCCAAGGGAGGTCCTGCTGGCTATCTGTGACAGGCCTGGGCAGTCAGACAAAAAAGGAAAGGGAGAAATAAAGAGGTAAGAATTTTTCCATTATGGCTGTGAATGGAGAACACAAAGGACTAATACTTCTTGCAGTTTCAAGTGGCTGAAAGTCAATCTTGTGTTGGGGGCAAGTATAAGGAAGGACGATTTGCAATGAGCTGTCCTTTTCGGCGTGAAGGATGCGGACTGGCTGTTTGCTGGCTCCAGAGAGACAGGTCAAACCTTCCGAGTGCTCTGGAGGCATCCTGTCAGACAGCTGTCAGTGAGGTCTAGGGAAGGGCTTCCCTTGTGGGGATGGTGCGGCAAGGACATTTATCCTGAAGACTCTGTCAGAGCCACACAGACACCTGTGTGCCAGGAATGGTTCCTGGGGGCTCTCTTGGGACCCAGATGATGGACTATGTTGGGAATAACAGGAGAGGGGCCTGAGGGTAGGGGAACAAGAGCAGGGAAGAGACAAAGTGGCATGGTTTCATTCTACATATTTTTCAGATAAATAAGGAATAGTAGATGCAAAGCATGCCGGGAACTTCTAAGAGAAGCCCTGCCTCCACGGGGCGGACACAGGAAGAAGTGTGGTCAGGGAGCAGGTCAGCGCAGAGCCCTGCTGTGGTCTGGGGCGAGCAGTTGGGCATCCTCTGGGGAAATGGAAGCTCTCAGTTGTTAGCTGGGAAGAGGGTACAATTGTAGGTTTAGGGGAATGTGGAAGCCTCTTGGTGATGTCACTTCAAATGCAAGTTACACTGTTCTTTTAGAGACAAGGATGAGGAAAAAGAACCAATGGGATGTGAGCCCTGGGTCTGCCACGCAGATGTGATGGGATGAGAAAGCGAGTTCCCTTAACCCAACATGAGAGCCGCCTTGGTAGCAATCCCAGGAAGCCAGGAAGGGGCCGTCTGGTGCTTGCTTGCACACCTTCACTGATGCATTCACTACCTACCAGGCAGCCGATTCCATTTCCTGACATCTCCAACCAGTAGGTCCTCCTCAAAATTACTGAGGAGAGCCCACACCATTCTCTCTGACTTCCATCCCTGTTCCAGCTCACATGGGTCCCCAAAACCTTTTCTTCTCCAACATAAACTGCCTCCGGGTTTTTATTTGCTTCTCATAAGTCATGATTTCTGACTCCTTTACCCTCCTTGTTTGGGACGTACTTCCAGCAGCCTCTGATCACAAAGAGCGCTCTGCTGGCAGGCTCACACTGCGTTTGGTCAGCCAACTTCCCTCGTCCACAAAGGACCACCTGTAATTCTTCTTCCTTTCATCCTGGGCCAGGAGTTGAGGGGTCCCTCATGACACACCACCCTGGTAGTTTGGGCCATTACTAGAGTCTGGGAAATCTTTTTAACCCAGTGCCCATCAGCCTTCGTGATGTTCATTGTCCCTAAGCCACAGGTTCCTTCCAGCTGAACAACTCTTAGAGCAAGCCATGATTAACTGAATTTTTGTCAATGGCATCAGCACGGTCTACCGGGCTGGCAGTGTCTCCACTGACTTTTTTTCCATCTTAGTCAGGGCCAGCTGGTCAGGGGCTTCAGGCTCCCTGGTATCTTTCTCTCTTGGTCACCTCTGCCACCAGCCTGGCCTGCTCTTTCCCACTACTTCTGGCTCATCTCAGCAGCCTCACCAACCTCCACCCTGGCCTTGCTGCTGGACTGGAGCCCTGTGGGGACAGGGGCTGCACCGTCCCAGTCTTCAGATATAATAGACTGGTCTGGTGTCTGTATTGGTCTAGCTATATAACAGCTCCTGACACTCCAAAGTCCATCTTAACAGGTCTCCTGCTTGACAACTGTCCTCCCCTGCACGCCAGTCCTGCACACCAACCAACTAGTCTCTCAGATCCATTCAGACTTGCTGCTCCCTGGATCCAAAGAAGATAACCTCAGAACATCTAAACCTCCTGGCCCAACTACTGGGAAGACTGGGAAGGAGGCTCCGGCACACTGAAACCTGGTTCCTTTGTCCTGCTGTCAGGCCCCAAGGTCTTTACCACTTTCAGCACATGTCCACACACACCACCCCAGCTATCAGGAATTTCGTCTCTACAGGACTTTGCTCTCAGACAGCCATCCACCCCATGTCAGCTCTCAATCCCTGTGTCAGCTGACAGTATTCACTAGACCCTACAGACATTTGCATCTCAGCAGGGGCCTCTGTAGGGTCACAGGCCCTCAGAACAGGAGTAATGAAGGTCTACCAGAAACTGCCAGCAGTGGAGTCAGTTGGCCTTTCGGAGAGCAGGGCGGGATGCCCCGTAGGTGGGCTTCCCAGACACAGAGGAGCTGTGGGCTCAGCGCCACCTCCTCTCAGACCCAGGGTCAATCTAGTCAAACCCAGTTGTCTTGGTGCCTCAGAGCATGGACCCCTTCTCTGGAAGATTTCTTTTCTTCTTCCTGCAGCTTCAGCAGCTCTGAGACCTCAGGGAGACCCTGATGCGGCCCCAGGCGACCCCTGGGAAGCAGAGGACTCCTCGGGCATCAGTCACTCAGAAGAGCGCCTGGCTGCTGCCATCCCTGCCCCTAAATCATGTTACAAATGGATGTCTCAGAGCAGAAAGTCTGGTCAAAACAGAGTCTTAATTATAATAAAGTGTCACACTCGGCAATGTTAATAGCGATGAAAATAGCAATTAAGTGTGTGAAGAAGGGCAAGTGTTTTCCCAACAGGCTCGATAAAACATCACTTAGCACATTAGCAAGAGCGGCTGGCTGACGGTGGAGCTCTCCTCGTTGCTGGAGGGAGCACAGACAGTCCTCACCCTTCCCAAGGGAACAGAGAAAGCAAGCCTCCAGGCACAGGAGAGCCAGGGCTTCTGCACCGAGCCCCAGGCCCAACACAGACTCGCCACCCAGCGGAGCTCCCGGGAGTGTGTGTGTCATGTGCCCCTCTGGTGCCGTCTCGTTGAGCTGGGCCATGTTGCCCCTGGTTGCTCTCAGGTGGGTCCTGGCTGGGAGTTGGGAGAAGAGGGAGGCCAGGGTGGTCTGGGGGGACAGGAGCGGGCCAGTCCACCAGTGGCCAGCAGTAGATGAACAGAAGCTCAGTGTCTACACTGGTAGACCAGGGGCAGAAAGCGACCTGGGGCCCCAGCACAGTGAAAGAATTGTGTCCCCAGGCTGAAGCCATTACCTGCCATGTCTAGTGCTTAGATAGAGCTGCCAGATGTCCTTTGGTAAATTCAGTGGCGCCAATCGATTTCTATGAATTCTACAACATGCACAGAAATGGTTTGCACTGTGGGTGGGCTTGTTTCTGACACCTGAAGGGAGAGGCTTCAGGGTCCAAAGTAGGAAGAAATGAAAGGACACGCTGGCTTGCAATCAATCCCACCTAGAGTTGGAACCAGCAGGTTTAGTGAGAACCTTGTCGTGGCGAGTCCAAGGCCTGGATGAACAGGAGGGAGGCAGCCTCTGATGAGACCTGAGTGAAGCTCATCTAGTTTTATTTGCCCTCAGAGTCCCTTCTACATGGCACAGTGATATCATGGACGGAGGGTTGTGGTTCTTCTTGGAAGACTGTCCGGAGACTAAGGACAGGTGTCACCTGGGCAAAGCAGCCATTTGCATCAGTCCTTCAGAAATTCCCCCTAATCCCCAGGGGCCCAGGACTCTTCGCTGGTACCCCCTGGAAATGTACCAGTCCACCACCTCAGTACTTCCAGAGAAGAAGGGGTCTGCACAGGATCAGAGCAGACAGGTAGGTTTTAGTAAGATGAGGGCTGGTTGGACTGATGAATACTCACATAATGAACCCAGATTTTTAAATTAAGACATTAGCTTGAACCATATGAAATTGATGTCTTTCTAGATTTAAAAACAGATATCTAATTTATATGGTTCAACATAGTATATATTAGCATATTTAAATGCAAATACATAGAAAAAGGACTGGAAAGATGGGTTTCACACGTGAACAGTGGTCACCTCTGGGGGGAACATGGCAGTTGCAAGTGGGTGGAGGTCAAGGGGAGCATTTATTTTTACTCTCTCAAATTTGGCATGTTTGAATATTTAAAAAGGAATGCACTGAGGATTGGGGTGCCAAGGGTGCTGACCAGCTGTTCTTCATCAGCACTGAAGAAAGCCCCAGAAGGAGAGACATTAGGGTGCATGCACACAAGGACGCTCGGGAAGGGCTGGTGGGCAGCTCTGTCTGGACAGTCAGATGTGTGCTTGGAGGTAGGAGTGTAATGACCATTAGACTTACAGAGTCTCAGACTTCTTTCCTAAGAAGGCCATCCCGCTCTGAGTGGAGTAGCTACCCACAACCTGGGCATATGCCCTGCTTCCAGCATGTTCTCTCCTCTGATGGCCCCCCACATCCCCACACCTCCAAAGAAGCACACTGGAGCCCCCACCCCTCAGCTGTGCCACCGTGGAGTCCAGTGGCTCTGTCCACAGCCCTTTTCAGTGACAACATCTCTTTTTGACAGTCATCTTGGGATGCCAGAGGCTCTGGCCAGGTGGCCTTGCCTCACCAGGCCATGGGCGTGCAGATGCCAGTGCTGCCCTTACTCCAGGGTGGCACAGCTGGGCCTCCAGCATGCCCAGGCCCAAGCAGGGGGAGTCTGCAGACCTTTATTAAACAGGCGTTGGTCACCACTTGCTTTGGGTCCACGATGTCCACCAGGGGCTCCTTCATGGCAACGTCCCGGATGCAGGTCATGTCAAAGCCATAGACATTCTCCCACCCTGTGGGAACAGGGTGGGACATGAGGGCTGGTAACAGGACCCCAGAAGTCTCCCCAACCCTCCTGAGTACTACAGCATGGCATGCCCAAGATGCGGAGGGCCAGCCCATGTTCCCCTGCAACAAAACAGGAGAACCTGCTCATCTGGGCAGAGAGCTTTGCAATGTGCCAAATGCCTACTCACACTCTCATTTGTACAGATCCCATTTCATGGTTTGGGACATTAAAGCTTAGAGAGGCTGATAAACTTCTCCAAATATCTCACAGCTAGAATGCCATGGGGCAAAGACTAGAACCCAAATCACATGATTCTTCCTGGACCAACTACCCTCACCCCCGTTCTGAGCTGCAGAGTCGCCTCTGAACTCTCTCATCGGCTCTTCACATTTCTGTCTCATCCTGCACACCTAGAAGGCCTGTCTCTCCCCCTCCTCCTATCCCCTTACACTGAACCTTCGAGGCAGCAGAAACAGGGGCTCTTAAGATGAACCAGGCTATAGTTTGAATCCCAACTCTACCACTTACTGGCAAGACCTTTGTGCAAACTCCCTGACCTCACTGAAATTCAGTTTCCTCAACCGAAAAACAAGGGGGCTGGGTCATGAGACTCTTTGCCCTCCTCACCTGCCATGATGCACTCCCTAAGGATCCATCCCTTAAGAAATACCCTCCAGGAGGGGCACAAACCATCCTGGGGGTGCTCGCTGGCTGGCCCCTTGGGGCTGCTCCTGTATGCTTTGAGAGGGAGAAATATTTAGGGTGCACGGTTGATGAGTAAACGCGTGGAAAGCTGATGGCTCTGACCTCCCTTACGTGACGGTCTCAGGGCTATCACTGATGTACCACCTAGCCCAGACCAGTCTTTGTTCAGCCTACCCAACAAGGACACTTCCACACACAGGTAAGAAAACGGGCTGGGAGAATTGGCATCTGTCTCGTGTGCAGTGTCAGTCCCCATATCACATATCGGGGAAATGGTGGAGCCTGGGCTCAAACCCAGCTTGCCCCCTAACCCTTCAGTCACACTGCTTGAGCTGTGGTAGCAATGAGGAACGCAATTGCCTCTCCCCACCATGCAGAGGGCAGCCTAAGCAAAGCGCTTAGTTAGTGGGCCGCTGAGTCTCATCTGTCTGTTTATTCAGGGCTTGGGAATGCATTGAAGTAGAGATGCTGGTCTCAAAAATCTTCTGGGATTAAATTTCTTTTAAAATTTTCATCAAACAAATGGTACCTTGGGGAACTATGTCGCAGTGTGTTAGGGGAGTGTTCGGGAGGAGGGGTGTGAGGAGGGAGGTGTGAACAGTCAGTAAAAGCTGTGCTCCTTCGACTCAGCCTGTTTTCTAAGGCACACAAAGACCTTCCTCAGCGAGAAGAGGCAGAGAAAATAATCATCTCCCAGAGGGCGAGCACTTTGATATTCTGGCTTGAGGATAAGATGGCAGTCATGTATCATTAAATCACCCAGAGCTGGTGTCTAATTCACTATTGAAACCTCTGTTTGTAGAAGAAAGCTGCTTGGTTGACAATAGGACATGCTTCAGAGAAGACCCCCTTCTGGGTCTGGAAATACTCATATTAGCAGAATGGATACATCAGAGGAAATACTGAATAACTTGAAAATAGGTCAATAAAAATCATCCAGACTTAAACACAAAGAAGAAAATAATACTCATGCCTTCAGATGAAATCCTTCTTTAAGAGACCTGCAGCCGTGCTCCTGATCTTTCTGTCTCTCGGCCCTACTTAGGTTAAGGTTCAGTGCAGGTGTTGGGCAGATACCTGAGAGAGTCTGTGTGTGTAGTGTTTAAAGGCCTGAGGTTTGAAGTTCAGATCTGGGCTCTGCCATTTCTTTGTTCTGTAATCTTCATAAGAATTTAACTTCTCAAAAAGTTGGTTTCTTCTTCTTTAAAATGGAGAGGATGATAATTATGTCTACTCTGTAGGGTTGTTATGATGATTAAATGTAATCATATACATAAGGTGCATAAAACAGTGTCTGGCACATCAAAAGCAGTTGATATGTAGTTGTTATCATTACGTGATTTGAGATATGTCCTGTCACCCTCTGAGCTGTGTGACCATGTGATCAATCCCCTTCTCAGGGCTTATTTGTAAAGTGAGGAGTTTGATCCAGTGTTTCTGAGTTCTAGAATCATATGGGACACCTTTAAAAATACAGATTCCTAGGCCCACCAGACCTATTGAATCATGATCTCCAGATTTGGGATCCAGGAAGCTGTAATTTTACAAATCTATATATACAGTTCCAACCAGAGTGTGGAAAACATTGAGCCATATGATCTTTAAAGTCCCTTCCAGGCCTCAAATGGTGAGCTTCACATCCATGCATGGCCTTTGCAAAACCTTTTGCAACTACACCCATCCATAGGACTTCTCCTTCCGTATCCTCAGCACCCGTATAGCACATCATCTGGCACACACAGGCCCACAGATAATGTTTTTTTAATTGAAATGCATTCACAAATATTTAATTTCTATACTGCTTCACAATGCCTGGTATTTACCTATGTTAATAGGGGTTAATTTACATCTTCTCTCCCCAGCTAGACTACCCTACCTTCATTATTCAGGAGAGAGATCACCCAAGACATTAAATTTTTTTCTCTCCTTTCTGCTGACCATTCATTTCCCACTAGCTTCTTTAACATAAGTGCAGCAAGGGTGAGAGACAATTCAAATTAAGCAGATTAATTTTTTTGTTGTAATCCTGCCATATCTATTGAATGAGTTAATGTGGGGTGAGGGCCATGGGCTACCAAGAAATGTTGCTATTAATTTTATGACAATTTAAAAAATAACATCAAAGGGACCTGTGAACTTTTATTTATGGATTAAAACAAGCTCCCAAAAAGGACTGCACTATGCTGCAATGAATGTACCTAAAGCACCACCTGACCTACCATAACTCAAGATTGAAGATCGACTCAAATCTCCACTTCATTAGCCCAGCAGAGGAAAAGACATGCTCTTTCCTTGGCATGTCTCCACTGTTCTTTTACTTACAATGTCCAGCATTAATAAACAATTACAAGACATAGGAAAAGGGAAAAACATATGACTCATCACCAAAAGAAAAAACAGTTCATAGACCCAAACACAGAGAAAATTCAGATGTTTAAATTATCCTATAGAGACTATAATAAATATGTTAAAGAATAAAGAATTTAATGGAAAAACATGCATGAACAGGTAGAGAATTTCATTGGTGGAGCCAGTGGAGATGCTAGAAATTGAAATCAAAATATTGAAAATGAAGAATTCTCTCAATGAACTTATTAGCAGAATGGATACATCAGAGGAAATACTGAATAACTTGAAAATAGGTCAATAAAAATCATCCAGACTTAAACACAAAGAAGAAAATAGAAGAGCAAAATATAGCGCATCCAAGATGTGTGGGACATTATCAAACAATATCTACCACGTATGTAATTGGAGTCCCAGAAGGAGGAAAGAAAGAGAATCAGGCAGAAAAAAATGTATGTAGAGATAATAGCTGGAAATTTTCCCAAACTAATGAAATCATCAGCCCACAGATCCAAGAATCCTATAGAATCCAAGCAATATAGATGCAAAGAAAAACGCACCTAGACATTTCAGAGTCAAACTGATGAATATCAAAATGAAGAGAAAATCTCCAGAGTAGTTGAGTAAAAGAAATACAAAGCAATAGAGAACAAACTTCACATCTCACCAGAGAGAGCTACAGGGCCATCCCCCTCCATCTCCTGGCCCCTGCAGTGTGAGCAACTCTGTGGGGGCTGAGGGGCTGCCTCAGAATGCAGGCACAGGAAATAAAGCAAGTGCCACTAGGTGCCCCTTACAGTTTCTCCTCTGGACAGAAGGGGAGGTGTTTACAACAGTTCCACGCATTTTAGGAACAACGTCAACTCCTTGTATAAAGTAGGCTGGGGCCAGAGACTAGAACTCAGGGAGGTGGGAATGGAGGTGGACGAGACAACAACAGAGCCCCCAGAGGCCCTGCCCCTCAGTCCTCCAGCTGCAGGCACTGCAGAGTCCATAGGAGGCCTTCCTTTCCATCTCAGCAGTGAGGGAGCAGGTGCCCATCCTTCTGATTCTCAGCAGGTTATAGATTCATGTATTGGGTGAGACCCATGTGTTGCATAAGAAATCAAATAGAATACCTACCAAGTTTTCTCCCAGTTTTGAGATTCTGTAAATTTCCTCCATAATAGAATTTTTTTTAAATGATTGCTGGAGAGGAGAGGGGAGGGGAGGGGAACAAAGGGGTGGGGAAGGGAGAGGCAGAAGATGCTTGCCTAACAATTCACTTCCTGAAAGCGGCTGGGCATGTTTCACTTTCCTGCCCCACTTTAAGATGTTTCTTTTTTAGCTGGCTCTTGCGCCAACTGCAATTTGCTTGCAATTGTTTCCTTTAGCAATCATAAAGCAACCTTTATGCTTTACTTTTGATTTAGAACTCAGAGTCACCAAAATCTCTGTTTATTGGAAACAGATTTCTAAATGGGCTTGCTTCCTTTACTGAAAACAAAAACAGATCATTAAAAAAAAGCCATTTAAATAGAAAACTAAGTATTTTAAATTAATTAAAAATGTTTAGTTTGATTTTTGGTTTTTGTTTTGGGGGGCTTGACAGAGTTTCCAAGACACACATTCCACAGAAGAAATGGGGCTCACTTCTAATTTTCTTTCTTTTCCAGAAGCTATGAAAATTGCAATGGGAAGTGCAAAATTAAATCACATGATCTCTAGTCCTGGACTAGCACCTGTGTAGCTGCAGCTGCCCTCCTAGGGCCTCTCGGGGCTGCCCAGTCCTCTCCAGCCCCAGCTGGCTCATTACAATGTGCATGTGGCAGAGGTTCCCAAATGCAATCCAGGAAAGGGAAGACGGTATGGCATGTTTGCTTTTAAATCATGAGGAAGTCCTTAAAGAGTTATGCCCAGGGTCATGGAGCTTAATACATATTTAAGTGTGCTTAGGAATGAAGAACGTGCCTG